CCAAATGTCATCAAATTATGAATAGTCAAACAATATCCAATGGTGAACTATAAAAAGGAATAAAGTAAAAAAAAAAAAGGAATAAAGTCCTCATACCTGCTTCAACATAAATCCACTTTGAAAATATACTAGAAAGAGGCCAGTCATAAAATCCTCATTTTGTTACCATTTATAAGGAGTGTTGAAAGTAAGAAAAATATAGAAAATATATCAGTGGTTGCTTAGGTTGCAGAAAGGGGAGGGATATAAAGAGATGAGGGGAATAGGTATAGGATTTATCTTACAGGCAGTAAGAATGCTCAAAATTCACTGTGCCAATAGTCACACCTATTGACCCACATTCTAAAAATCAATGTCTTTGGATGGAGAGATGGCTTGGTGGTTAAGAACATTTGTTGAGTGCTCACTTAGGCAGCACATATACTAAAACTGGAACAATACAGAGAAGATTAGCATGGTCCCTGAGCAGGGATGACATGCAAATTTGTCAAGTATTCCATATTTAAAAAAAAAAAAAAAACCACAACAAAGAAGATTCGTTGCTCTTACAGAGGGCCCAGGTCCATGTGGTGGCTCACAACCATCTGTAATACTGGTTCCAAGGATCTAATGCCCTTCTTGTGATTGCCACAGGCACCAGGCATACAGGTGGTGCACATACAGGCAGCCAAATCAGCACGCGCACGCGCGCACACATACATAAAATAAAAAATCTAAAAATAAACAACCAATGTTTTGCTACTTTAAACATGTGGATTATATGGTATATGAATTATGTATCTATAAAGCTGTTGGAAAAATTCTTCTACTGGTTCATCATAGTTCATAGCCTATAAATTCCAAATCCTCATCACTGGCTAGAAGACACTGATATGATATAGCTAATTCCCACACTCTCCCCAAGCCTCATCTGAAACCACATTTCCCCTAATGTTTTGTTTAGATATAAAACCTTCTTGTAGTTTCTCCAAAGAATCTGACTCCACTTAACACTGTATTTTCAATTGCCATAACGTGCTTAGAAAGTTTGTCCCCTGGGGGCTGGAAATAAGGGATTAAGAGCATAGGTTGCTCTTACAGAGGATCCAGGTTCAATTCCCAGTATCCACATGATGGTTCACAACCATCCATGCCTCCAGTTCTAGGGTATCCAACACCCTCTTCTGACTTCCCTAGGCACTGGGCACACATATGGTGCACATATGTAGGCAAAACACTCATACACATAAAATAAATCTTTTTAAAAAGGTTCTTCCCCTAGTTGCTACTCATCCTACAGACCTCTGTCTAAGCATCACACCCTCATGAGAGCCCGAGGAGAAGTGTTCATCTTCTGTAACATGCTGTTCATAACTCACTCTTTATGGTTCAGGTTGAGCATCTTTTTCTTTTTTCTTTTTCTTGAGACACGGTTTCTCTGTGCAGCTTTGTAGACCAGGCTAGCTTTGAACTCGCATAGATCCATCTGCCTCTGCTTCCCAAGTGCTGGGATTAAAGGCATGTGCCACCATGCCCAGCTGGTTGAGTATCTCTTAACCAAACTTCTGGGAACCAGCAGCATATTAGATTTTGAAGCTTTTTCAGATTTTGAGATATTTTCATAAACGTAACGAGTTATTTTGGATAAGAAATACATATCTACACATAAGATTCATTTAAGCTTCATATGATGTGTCCCCCACAACCTGTTCTTGTATTGAAGACTTGGCCTCTGGCTAAACCCAACAACTGAGCAGTGACAGATCACAACAGCTTGTGGATAGATAGGCAGTGTTACAACGTTCAGAAGTGCAACTTTATTGGTGGGGCTGGTCACTAGGGGGATGTTCCCACGAGCTGTCTTGCTCCAGTCCTCTATTGCTCCCTGCCTTCTTGGTTGCCACACAAGAGCAGTTTTGCTCATCCACACTTAAAATGTGATGGTCTGCCTCACCACGGGCCCAGCAACAATAAACCAGGTGGCCACGAAGTGTCATCCCTGAAGCCATGAGCAAAATAAACCTTCCTCCTGTTAAACATTTCTCTCAGATGTTTGTCTCATTGTCCAAAAACTGGCATATCCACCCTACACACATAACACGAAGGTTACCTTATGTATTTTTTAGTAATTTTGTATGTGAAGTCAGATATGGTAGCATATATAATCCTAGAATGAAGGAGGCTGAGGCAGGAGGATTGTCATAAGTTCAAGTTAAGCCTGGACTATTTAGTAAGTACCAAGCAGCTAGGAGGACTTGGGCTTCAATTAACAAAACAAAACCAATTTTGAGTATGTGTGGAATTTGGAACATTTTCTATTTTCAGATTAATGATGTTAAATTGTATATATCACAGATGTGCATGCCATTTTTACCAGCACATATGTTTCCTGTAGGTGCATATTATATTTGCCTGGTTCACTTATGTGATTCCTGGTAGTAGCTGCAATCAAGATTTTGAAAAGACTGAAAGTTTGTCATTCTATTTATTTCCCTAATGCCGTTCTTCATGTGTGTGAATGTTTTGCCTGAATGTATGTATGTGTAAACATGTATGCCTGGTGCCTGTGGAAGTCAGAAGATGGCCAGAGACACCCCCGACCCCCCACACCCGGGACTGGAGTTAGGCTGGTTTAAGCCACCATGTGAACACTGAGAACAGAACTGAGAATGCATCCTCTGTGCTGAGCCAGCCCCACTTCATGCCTTCTTAAAGGCACTAAAAAGCACTCTTCGTGCATCTTGATACAGCATACTTACAGTTCACTAATCTCTCAGCTTTGTCCTTTTAATTTTTAATTGTTTGTTTGTTTTTATGTAGACAGGGTCTCAATATATATCCCTGGCTGGCGCGGAGCTCACAGAGATCTGCCTGCCTTTGCCTCCTGAGTGTGGGGATTAAAGGTTCGAGCCACTCATGCCCAGCTAGTCCTTTGTTTTTATAGTTGCTGCTTCTTGAGGAAATGTGCCCTGGCCATCCTATATAATTAAGTAGCAGGTGTTCAGTGGATACCTGTGGACTGACAAAACAACTAAAGCAGAATCAAATCTGTAGCAAATGCTGTCTTATCCACGTAGGTTATGACGTCCAAGGAGGCAGTGGCTCTCTATGATTCTCTGATGCATGCACCAACTCAATGCAGCCTGAAAACAAACATGATTTCTCCATCTCTCCAAGGATCGTAATCTTAACAAATTCAAATTGTTCTACTTCTCTCAGCTAGGAAACCCTTGATGTGGGAGGTGTGGGTGTATGTACTTGTGTGAGTATGTACATGTTTACATGGAGCTGTGACTGCAGGATGGTGTCTTCCTCGGCTGCTTCTCCACTTTCACTGAACCAGGAGGTGATGGATAGACTACACTGCTAGCCAGGGAAGCTCCCAGGCTGCCTACTTCTGCCTCCTCCAAGTGGAGGTCACAGATGTGAGATACCTTGTCTGCTATTCCATGGTTGCTGATGATCGGAACTCACGTCCTCAAACTTACACAAAACACTTAGCAACAAATGCCCTAAGAAACATTTTAAAGAGTGATTTCTCTTTTGGCTAATGAAAAATCTGTTCTTAAATTAGTTTCTCAAGTGAAACTAGTAGTATATTTCTCTGTGCACTAGTAAATGTACAAACATTAAACATTCAAGATCAACTTATTAATGTTTCCTTGGATAGAAGCCAATTAGAAGAGGACAGCTGGGGGCTAGGGAAATGACTCAGCTCTTAAGAACACTTGCTGCTTCTTCAGAGGACCTAAATTTGGGTCCCAGCCCCCATATCAGGAGGCTCACAACCTCCTGTAATGCCAGCTCCAATATATCTGACACCTTCTTCTGGTTTCCAAAGGTAGCAGCAAGACACATGGCACGCATGTACATATACACTTGCAAGCACGCACACAAACACATGAGCACACACACCCAAAAAGCTCACCCATATATACACACACAAATAAAAATGTCTCTTAAAAAGAAAAGAGGACAACTATTGGTTCAGAAACTTGTTAGTGATTTTCTTATAATTTTATAGAAAGAAAAAAAAAACAGAAAAATACTATTTTTCAATACACTTAACTTCTCCCTTCCTTTTTCAAATTGTGTGCTTAACAATAAGCAATTAACTAAAAAATTTGGTACTGTATCTTTTAGATAGCACTTACTGGTTTCTCACATACACATACACAATGAGAAATAGAAAAATATCTTTTTGGATACTGAAACTAAAACAAACTAAAAATCTGAATTTCAATAAAGGTTTGCCTCTTTTTCTAGTCTTAGAAAGTGATACCATAGCTTCAGTCTTCCACACACATTGAATTTTATAGACCACAAGCTGGAGACAATACTCAACAGTTCTTCCTTTCATCACACTGTCCACAATTTCTTAATCCTAACAACCAAAAAGTTCTGTTCTTTGAATCTGTCTCATGTTGAACTACAGGGGCTGTCTCAGAATCTCTCTCTAAAAACACTGCAGTGTAGCAGAGCACGCACTCCTAGTCTCAGGCAGGCTATGGCAAGAGGGTCAAAAGACTGAAGCCAGCCTGACAAGCAGGTCTCAATCCTGCATCGCCATAAATGCTCATTTCCTCCTCTGGTATTATTCTCACATGGTATAAAACTATACACCCAGCTCTGCTTCTTTGAGTTTTTTTTTTTTTTTTTATTCCTCCGCAGTATTACTTTGCTGCACAGAGTGATCAAAGAAAACTCAGAACAAAATAAAGGGCTTCAAGCTCCATATCACAAAAGGCAAAATCATGCCTGTCAATTATTGGAAGACAAGGAGAAAAAAGGTCTGACTATATATAGCACATAATGCTAAATAGTCAGAAATAAGACCTCCACCACAAAAAACAAACAAACAAACAAACAAACAACAAAAACAAAGCAAAACACCTTCCAAGATAAGACATAACCCAAACAGTAAATTAAGATCTATCTGAGCTTGGGTCAAGGACTTCATACCCACTTCTCTGTCTCTTATCTCAAAGCAGAGCCCTGCAAATGCATAAGGAACCTCCTACCTCCTCTTCTCCCGGGCTTCCACGGAGGAGTCTGTTCCAGTGGAGGAGAACACTGTAGCAGCTGGAACCCCATTGGCAGTGCTTGGTGCAGGGCGATTGGTGATCACACACAGAGGGCTACTAGAAGAGACACCGTCTGTTGTTTTCTCTGGGGTTGAATCAGCCTGGGATTTGTAAGGAGTCCTGAAATTAAGAAGGACAGGAGCCAAAGGAGAATGGTCAGGTGTGGTATACAATAAAACCCTGGCACAGAGAAAGGAGAGGCACAGATCTAATGAGAATCTTCTTGCTCAGATTTTGTTTGTTGGTTTGTTAATTCTGAGCTCTTAAATTTGGAACAGTAGGATTAGATTTTGTCTGACATCTTCTGCCCAGGACTTACATTTTATAGGGTTGTTTTTTTGTTTTTGTTTTTGTTTTTTTTGCATGAGATTAAAAAACAAACAAACAAAAATCAGCTGTGGCACAAGGCAAGATAGTGACACATGCAAGTGTCCTAAATGACTTGTTGCCACCTGACCTCCCTCCACACATGCACAAAGAGATAGGATCTCACTGCAGGTGAAAAAGACACTAAAATCACTTACGATGTCAGTCTCCACCTGTCCCGCAATTCTTGGCAGGGAAAGGCTTTGTGGCAGTCCTCAGCCTAGATCTGATGATCATCTTGAAATATCCATTTGAAAATTATTCTACAACCTCAGTCTATTTGGTTCTCTCTCACCTAGTCCAGCAACTGCAGTCGTTTTCTATTTAGCCAAGTGCCTAATTCTCTAAATTCATAGCTGCCTAAGTAAGAAACTGAAACAGAAATCGAGCAGGATTCTATATGTAACCTTAACTACAGACTGCAACAGCAAGCTGTGTAATTAAAGTCATTTATGTGAAAATAAGATCTTTGTTTCTTAACAAAGAGTCAGGAGCAACCATTGGCTCTCCACCCAAAAAGCTATCATTTGTGATGTCACAGCTTGTTGCTGGGGTAACAGAGATCCAAAATTGATACTTGCAGAGATGGGAAAAGCAATGAAAAGCATGAATGTTAAAAATCTGTTTTTCACCTACTCACAATTATTATCAGAAATGGTTACAAATAGCTATAAGCTCACTTCCAAATATATATTATTAGGATAAGTGTAAAAGAGATAATCAAGTCATAAAGTCTAAACATGGCATTAAGAAACATGTAAAAATATATTTTTGAAGATAGAAGTTATATCTAAAAAATATAAGCTACTTCCCCAGAAGCAATTTAATATCTCAGAATAAGGTGATAATGTATATTCATTTTCTCATCTAAAAAGATCATTTCTCAGGTTTATTAATATACATGAAGTACTAATAAAATTAATGAGGAGCATAGCCATAAGAATATGATGCCAACCTGGGAACAGTGCGTGTACCTATAACTCTCAACTACTAGGAGGCTGGAGCAGGAAAATTTCATGAACCCAAGATTTGAGACCAGTCTGGGAAACAGACTCCAACTCACCAACAAAAAAACAAACACACACCAGAAACAAAAAAGTCTTAGTAAGATTTTATACTTAATGAAACTTACTGAAGTTTATTTTCGGGTTAATAATGTGTTTTGCATTCTCTGTAACTTCTTTTTTTTTAAGCTTTATTTATTGCTGTGTATATGCTCATTGTATATGGGAGGAGCTCAGAGGTGAACTTTGTGGCACTAACTCTCTCCTTTCTCCTACACACGGGCTCTGGGTCTCAAATTCAGGATGCCAGGCCTACGCCCCAAGTAACTTTACCTGCTGAGCATCTTGCCAGCCTTGCAATTTCTTAGGCTGTTGAAATGCCAGAGATTTTATTTTATTTTCTAATAAAACTTTACTATTATTTTGAAACATGTCATAACTTTATAAGCAGACTGTTCAAGGGTAGCCAGGAAAGCGCTACAGCAGGCTCAGAAACTACACAACAGAACCACATGGTGCTAACATTCAGCCAACTTAAAAATCTGATCTCTTCATCTTTAACACAGGGAAAGTAATGCTGCATCATGAAGAGTTCTCAGGATGACGAAACAAAATGATGTCTGCATGATATCTAAACAGTACTCAGAATAAAATACAAACTCGAGGTAAACAGAACCGGCTTTCATGAACTAATCTGGATATAAAACCTGCTCCAGTGCCTCCGTGGTTTTGCGATCGTGGGCAGATGATTAGGCTTTTGGTTTGCTTTCCTCATCTAAAAATGCAAACAATGCTCAATATGCCAGGAGCTACTTGTGAGACCATAAATAACTTGTAAGTGCCCAAGGCAGGAGTTACCTGACTAACACTCCCTGTCTCCGACTTTACTAATAGGTGCCCTATATATATATTTAAATTATCTTTTTATCTTTTGAGATTATAATTTTTTTTTACATTTATTTATTTGTGGTGTGTGGAGTGTGTGGTTTGTATGCACACAGATGTATTTACATAGGTTAGAAGGCAATTTGCAGGAGTCAGTTCTTTCCTTCAACTATGTGAAATCCAGGGATGGAATTCAGGGCATTAGGCTTGAATGTAAGTTCCTTTACCCAAAAAGCCATCTCTCCAGCCCTATATGCTCTGTGTTTCTTAGGGCAACAATGTACCTGCCCCAAATCAACATCTTCCAGGGTGTGCCAAATGCAGGAAATATCGCATAAGATATAAGCATAGATTTAAGTGTTTCTGAAAACAGTATTAATTTAGAGGTCTGTCTTTGCCTGCTTCTCTCTTGTCTATTACTTCATATCCAGCATGCATCCACCATGGCTAGAACCTCCCAGCAGTTATTCCGGACTGTGAGGCAGGCCTTGGAAATAGAATCCATAATGTAAAAAAAAGAACTGGATCTTTTAATGACTTTAGAGATACTGCGCTGGCCTTGTTTCTGGGCTTTCTTACTTAAAAGAAAAAGAAACCTTCTCATATTTAAAGTAATAACAGGGATTTACTGCTGCATGTGAGTAAAACAAATCCCAGCCATATGGCCTTCTGCACAGAAACTAGTCCAGTGCCTGTCACAAGATAGGGTTCAACAAAACAGTCCCCAGTTTCAGCTCTGTGATTTCCTCAGTGCTTAGGGTTGAACCCAGGGTCCTAGGTATGCTAAGCAAGTGCTAAACACTATGTTAAGCTTCCATCCTCCTGTCTGGACTTTTCATCTTTAGTGATAATACGCAGAATGTCAATGTAGCTGTATTATTATGGGAATCAAATAAATTTCTATGCAACTATACAGTGTTACTATGAGAGTCAAAAGCCTGAAATCTTGACATAATTATAACAGTATTGATAATAATGTATTATAAAATAATTCTTTCTAACCAAATTAATGGTGACTATTTGTTTTAGGGAAAGAAATCAATTAAACTGGCAAACATCAATGAAGCACCACCATAATAGGTATTCTGGCAACAATACTATCATCATTTCTATTTTTTTTGTTGTTGTTTAATTTTCTTTCTGCCAAAAGAAGATCCATAAAAGCCATACGGCAAAAACAAAATGGCCTCTAACACCCAGGAAAGGGTAAACGCCTGTCGTGCACAGTGCAGCTATGGCTGGAGAAGTGCTCTACTTAAGAACACTTGATGCACATGCAAAGAATCCAGTTTCCGTTTGCAGCAACCACTACAGGCGGCTCAGAACCACCTGAAAATGCAGTTCCAGGATATCTGATGGTATACACACAGACAAGGAGCCATAGACACATACACATCCGTTGAGTATGCATATGAGGGTGTCCGTACATGTCTTTAATCACAGTACTCAGGAGGCAGATCTCTCAGTCCAAGGCCAACCTGGTTTACATAGTGAAGTCAAAGTCATCCAATCCTACATTGTGAGACCCTGTCTCAAAATAATCAAACCAAAAAAGAACTTTAGTCCTGCTGTGCTTTCACAATGACACTCTGTCACGCTACCTTTAGATGAATGGAAAACCAAAAAGATACGCTCCTGGAACATAGTTTCTGCAAACACAAACCTCTCCTCACAGTGCTCCCGAAAGAACACTAATTAGCTTAATTTTCAGAAGGCTACAGGAGGTTTTTGAAACACAGATCAGCTTTTCTTCTGGGTTTGTATGTCATCTTCCAAAAGACTTAAATACATGAGATTCTGACTAGGATATATAAATATTTTTCATATATAATTTATTATGGGTCTGGCTCTAAAACTGTAACCACAATTAGAAAGCTGGTTGAGAAATGAAAGCAATCATGCTACTTTTGACTTTTAACATCAAGACAATGATATGGATCCAATGCTATTCAATAAGCAACTGTCGACTGGCTAGTGAAGTCAAAACAAAAGCATCTTCATTAAGTTCTGGATACTGTCACAGGAATTTAACTTACTCCTACATTGACAAAGCCTCCTTGCTTCAAATCTCATATGTGTTTCCAGAAGCATTAACTGTGATGATGCAACTCAAATGGCTCCAAGAAGCCTTACCTGACATGCTGTACAGATGCAGCAGTGTTTGTACTGACTGGCGCAGGGCAAGAGGCAGGTTGCCACTGGCTGCCCCGAGAGGTGGATGAACCAATGGTAATGGGTGAGGTAGCAGGAGATGAATTGCGATTGGCTGAAATGTAGGGACTTGTGGGGTCACTACTTTTACCAAATGAAGCACTGCAAAACAGCACACAGTCACTTTCTTCAGGACATGCTACTCACCCACCATTTCCCAACACCACCTTCCCACCCAGATTGTGCATGTGAAAGGAATGTAGGCCAAAGAGATGGCATGGCAACCAGGAAGTGGAGAGGTAACTCCAGCCGGAGCTGGGTCTCCAACAGCAAGCAGGCACTCATCCAAGAGTGAAATAATCATCACTCTTTGAAGGATGATTTTTTTTTTTGATCAATCATCCAAGAGTAAAGGAGGAGAGGTGGCATTCAACAAGGGAAAGCAAGAAAGAGGAATACATGACAAGAGACTATTATTAGAAGGAAAGAAAAAAAATCCCAAACAAACCCAAGGCCCCAAATCATGCAACACAACCACCTACATGATAGAGAAGTAATGTTGCAAAAGACAGAAGACCCAAGAATTGGGGAGGTCTTAAAAATTTTAAACAAAAAAGGAAAGAAAGGAACTATGTGAGGAAAAAATGGCTGCTGCAGTCATTTAGCTTAAAGAAAAATGTCATAGGGAGGATTTAAAGCTTAGTTTGAGTCTACAAAGTAACTGTGTGGTCAGAAAAAGGCAAAGGGTTTTGTTCGTTTTCAACTGAAGATATAAGGACTATCTCATCTGCAGCAAAACATTATTGTGTTAGAAGTTTATAGATGCTTTCTGACTGTAACAGACACTAGGGAGTGAGGAAAAAAGCTGGAAACCTTCTCTAGAAAAGCAGTGTTTTACTGGGCTGTATGAGACTAGTTACTGGCTAAATACAAAAGATGATGTAGAAAATTCAAAGAAGACCAAGGCTTGGCACAGCTAGCGGATGAGAGATTCCTTCTTGTACTTTCTTCTTAAAATGCTGATAGCATACAATTCTTTCTTCTTGGGAAGATCACAAGGCTTTATAAAAATCACTGTGGGTCACAGAAAACGAGCACTGGAGATCTAAGGCACCAAGCAAGTTGTAGATCTTTTCTCAAAAGGCACTCATGTAATTAAGCACAATTTGCGGCCCTTTCATCGGTTCACTAGAACTTTACCCAAACTACAGCAAACCAAAGCTGCTCAAACCCATTTGCTGATAAATTTGGGTCATGAACATCAACAACCTCACCGCCAAATAACTCTACACTTGGAAACTAAATTGAAGTTTTCTTTTATCCTACCTCTAGAACATTATTCTCTTAGAAAAGTTTCTTTGACATTGGATTTGACTGTAAGAAAGAGTGATATATCTTGGTAATTCAAGGCCTTCCCTTCAAGAGAAATAGGTGACACCCTCATAAAGCCCCAAACACCTGATTTGTATAATAGTCAAGTGGGTTTAGATGTAACTCAGTTGGCAGTATGCTTGCCTAGCATACAGGAGGCCCTGGGGTAAATTCCTAGCCTCCTAAGTGTGTGCAGTGACATATGCCTGTAACCTCAGCACTCAGGAGGTGAGGCAGGTAGATCAAATTTTCAAGGTTACTTTCAATTACATAATTGAGTTCAAGGCCAGATGAGGCTACTTGAGGCCTTGCCAATATAAATAAATAGATAAAATACCCATTGAGATCATCGAGCTGTACTTATATACTTTCAAAGTTAAGCCCTTTCTTAGGATGTACCTGCAGAACTGAAGAATTAAAAGGCAGTGGTGTCTGTTTCCATTATAGCTTATTTCCCATGTTCCAACATTAACTGCCTGTCAGGAGCCTTCCCATTAGGTAGAAATAGTTTTGATCACAAACAGCTAATCTGCTCTTACAGTCTTGGCCAAAGCCTGTTTCCAAGGTAGTCATCTAGAAAGCCTAATGATGAAAGCAGGAGGTGACAGCTGAAAGGGTTAAGTGGAAGTGAAGAAAGAATTCAAAGTAAGCAATGAAAAACAGATTCTTCTACATCAGCAGTGAAATTCAAACAAAAATATTATTAAGTGTCCTTGTAGCTTAATGGTTCTGGCAGAGGTGCTTTGCTTGCTTGGCTAGCTTGTGGCAAAGAAAATAATTGCAGAAAAGAGAATACAGATGAGATCAAAGGAAACCCATGTACCTTCTCTGCACACCAAACTTGCGAGTTTCACATCTTGATGGATCTGAGGGCCATTAAAGTCATAAAAAAACAAAAACAACTCAAGTCCCTAAATTAATAGGCTCAACATGAAATGTCTTAAATCCAACAGGAAACTGTTCCCATTTCCCACTCCTTCCCACCCTATCGTGCCCTCCCTCTCCCCACCCCCAAGTGTAACCTATGATAAAAACTACCCTAGTTTTAGAAAAGGGAAAACCAAGGATAGGCAATAGTATAAATCCCATCTTCCCCAGAGATCAGTAGGTGATACTTCAGACTGAATTTTTAATAGGACTGAGAGGACGGAATGTAAAGTCATGTCTGTTGTGAGGATTGGAATTGGCTTACTTTAATCCAGGTATTAAGAGAACAAATTAATTTTAAGTCAGTGAAAATGTTGATCCCCAAAACCTAAAGCCACTCATTTTTGTGGTACTAATAGGATATAAAAAGCATGCAGTCATTACCCACATTCCCATGATCAGAGTGAAGGAAGTCATCTCCCACCCCTCTGTAGCTGGTACCTTTTCAAGTAAGTGGACACATAAGTGGAAGGGGCAATTGTCCGTGGGGTTTCATTTCCCTTCGTTTCATCCCTCCACAGCTGCCTGCTGTGGGAGCCACTTCTCACTAGATTAACAGCTGACTCTCTGTAGAGGCAAGAAAAACAAACCAACAAAGCAATGATTCCTACCAATTTGAACTATAAACAGAGAGAAGAGCCAATGGAAAACTGTAACATGCTAAAGAAACAAGCACATCTTTCAAGTGACTCTGTTTTCTCTACCTGTTTCCTGTAGTAGTGCTGGCTTTCTTCTATCAACATTAAAGCCAACTCATTCCAATAGGAACAAAATTATCCCTCACACCAAAAGCCCCTCCTCCTTTTGTGATGAGGAATCACTTCTTATTCTCATTTAAGAAGTACCTTGCAATGATCTCCAGTGGCAAAGGAGCTAATAAATTACTAGAGAAAGAAAACAGGAAGGGTGCTGCTATGTGCCTCTTCAGCATTACAAATGAGAAGAGATCCAGAAGGGGCTGTAGTAGGTTTTTTGCACTCACAATCAAAAACTTGGGATCTTTGCCATAGAGGCTATAGGCCTAGTAGACATCCTTCTTGGGCTTTAACATTTATTTGAATCACTTAGAAAATTCTGATTCTGATTCTGTAGCTCTGAGCTGCAGCCTGAGCTGCAGTTCCAACAGGCTCCCAAGTGATGTCCGTTGAGAGTAGCATGCCTTCAGAAAAAAGGGGTCTAGATTGGGTTCTGTCTTGAAATGCAACAATAGCCTGCTGGGATACTAAAACTAACTAATACTCGGAAGAATCAGAGTCCTACAGACGGCAATGTCTAAACTGGAATTACAATTTAAAGGGAGAAGAAACTGGCAAAGAGAGAAAGTAAAGGCTGGGAAGTATTCTGGGCAGAAGGACAAGCAATTCACAATATACTGAGAACACCTCTGGGAAAAGGCAGACAAGTAATAGCCATATCCCTATGCCCAGAGGCGCTGAAAGAAATCATCTTTTGGCATGTATTGTGATTACCTGTTCTCCTTTTCTTCAATGTCACTTGTGCTGCTGAGCCTCCGGGGTGCCAACGTACTAAAATAGTTTTTGTTTTCCCTTTCCTATAAAAATAAAAACATGTAAAATGCAAGAAAGGTTCAATACTGACAGAACATAAAACATTTTTGGCACAAACACAGGACTCTGCTAGGCACAGTGGTACACTTGTAATCCTAGCCCTTGGGAAGTAAAAGCAAGAAGATTTTAAGTTCAGGGCCAGCCAGAGCTACAAAAGTGAGACTTTGCCTAAAATCTCATGAAGAAGAAAAAAAGTAGATCTTACAGTTATATATTCTCATATCTGGATTCATCCTTAATTCTATTTTGAGTGGTATTATAAAAGGATATCTTTCAAAAACTTATTCTTACCTTTCCTTCATAAAAATCCTGTATGGAGGGAAAAAATTCTCAAGAAGAAAGTAAGGATGCTCCAGTGAAGAAAATAGCATAGCTTATACAAAGGGCAGCACTGAGGGGGAGTGAGAAGGGGTCTAAGAAGCCACAAGCAACTCCATGAAACACCCTGCGTACATCAATCTCATTTAATCTCCAGCTATTTTTTCCTCAAAATGCAACTTCCTTAGGGACACATACCACAGACACACTGCAGTTCATCCAAACTCTAGAACTCATCCCCCTTCAAGCTGTCGCCAGAAAAGCAAACAGTAAGAGGACTAGGATTACTAGGAAGACCCCAGAGTAGAAAAATAAGTGAATCTTGAAAAATCTAGAACCAAACTCTGATTGATGAATACCATAGTGAACTGCTTGTGAAGTCAGCCTAGTCATATATTTCTACAAATGAAAAATAACAGGTTAAAATTTTTCTACTAGGTGGTGTATGATAGTATACACCAGAATTCCAGCACTTGGGAGACTAAGGCTACATAGCAAGTTCTAGACCATCCTGTCTTAATTTTTAACAAGGAAACAATAAACCACTAAGTGCTAATGTGCCCAGCTGCACTAAGGTTCAAAGTTCAACTTTGCTTGCAAACATCAAAAGAGTAAGTTTTCCTGGTACTGATTCAGAAGAACCATTTGGGCCATGTTCAATTTTCTGAGTCATTGTTTTTCTCTAGGTAAGTAAGAAAGAATGAACATAAAATAAGCCAAAAGGAAAAACTATTTTTAAGACTTCCTTTTTTGGCCAAGAAAAATACTAGCAAATAAATAACTACTTGATGAAATTATTGAAGAGACAAGGCCAACTCATTTCAACAGATACCAAATGCCTTATATCAAAGTCCCTCATCCTTTTGTAACAAGGAATTACTTTTGTTCTCCATTTTAAAAACATCTTCACAGTCTCTGTACTTCCACAGTCAACTTGGGGAGTAGAAAACACTTCTATTTGTTGTCATGACTGAATTTTCACTGAAGAACACTGCTTTGGAATGCCCTGCATATCCCCTACCCTCCCGCACTGCACCTTGTCTTTGTCATCCAGCAAAGCTGAGATCCGAGGGCTTGATGAGGAACGGTAGATGGAAGAACCTCGATCTCTAAAGGCTTCCCTGGAGTTGGCCACTTCACTCAGCATGTTGTGACTGCCAGTTTTCCTGAGTCCCAGTCTCCATGAAGAAGGAGATTCGTCTTTGGGCTCTTCTGTCTTGTTGAAAAGACTGGACAACTATGAGGGGAAAAAAAGGAAGGGGGAAACTCCTGATGATCTATTCTGTTTTGTTCTATTTGCTTTTCCTCACTTAATGAAGTTCAGTGGAACAGCCTAGGACATACTATAGGAACAGACCCCTGGCAGGCTTCCTGCCACTGTGCCCACTAACTTGACAGATATTAGATGCTCCCAAGAGCTCTTTCTTCAGAAGTCAGCAGTGAATTCCAATTCTTAGGGCTCCTACCCACAAACTTGCTCTGAGAAAAGCCCCTTTGCTGTCCTTGTGAACCAGCACTGCCCCAAAGCACCAGGAGACTGTGCTCTGGTGATTCCTTTTCTTTTGATTTGCTGGGTACCTGAAAATAAGCTACTTTTCTTCTCTATGTCTCAATGTGCTTATCTGCAAAACTGGTAATGAGCTTAATTCTTCCCTCTGATACAGTCTGAAGAAATAGGGTGAGCAAATGTATAAATATATAGAGAGAGGCAATGGTCTTCCATGTGATAAGCTAATTATTTCCTTTTATTGAAGATAATTTTTTTCTCTCATATAATATAACCTGGTTACACTTTCCCTTCCTTCTACTTCTTGCAGGTCCTTCTGACCTCCTCTCCCATCTGGGTCCCCTCCCATTTTATCTGTCACTAGTAAATGGAAAATAATAAAATAAAATATAATAAAAACTAACATATCAGAATTGGACCAAAAAAATCAGAAGGGAAAGAACCCAAGAGAAGGCACAAGAAACAGAGACCCACTCGTTTGCACACTCAGGAGTCCCATAAAAACACTAACCTGGCATAATATACACAAAGGACCTGGCTCAGACAAGTGCAAGCCCTGTGCAAGCTGCGTGAGTGAGTCTCTGTGAGCTCACATGAGCTTTGTTCATGTTGATGTAGAGGACTTTGTTTCCTTGGTATCCTCCACCCACTCTGGCTCTAACAATCTTTCTGCCTCCTCTTCCACAGGGTTCCCTGAGTCCTGAGGGAAGGGATTTGATGGAGAAATCTCATCTAGGGCGCTGAGTGTCCCAAGGTCTCTCATGTGATAAGTTACTTTTAAGTTACTAGTAATGACAACTCCTCAAAATTCTAACTCTAATAATATCAAAGAGTTTATCATTTTATTGAACAAGAAATTTTAAAAGATAAAATTTTTTGAGGTGAGAAGGTCACCATCTTTCTTATTTTGCCTAGACAGAACACCTTTCAAAGAAATCAAGAGCTCACCATCACCACAACTGCATTAAAAAGAATTTTGAATATCAAAAAAGGAAGCTTCAGTTGGGTGCAGTGACACGTGCCTGTAATTCCAGCATTTAGAAAGTAGAGGTAGGTAGATCAAGCTCATACTCAGCCTCACAGTAAGTTTGAGGCCAGCATGGCCTATAGCTACTTAAGACCCATCGCAAAACCACAGTTTCCAGCAGGGTATGCTTGACTAGCATGTTCAAGACCCTAGGTTCTAGCATCAACACTAAAGACAAACAACACTTCATGGACAATTTTGCATTGTCATTTTATAAAGCAGAGAAACAGGCTGGAGATATAGTTCACTGACACAAGTATATACATACAAAGTTCAGTTTCTAGTGCAGACAAACAAACAAAGCAGGGAAACATCACAGGCTAGCATTAGCCCAGAAACCAGATTAGGATCTTTAGGGTATAATGTCCTTCAGATGCCAGGCATCAGTTCCTTTCCTAGGGTCTAGGGACCTTTAGAGTAAAAGTCTCATCCCCACCCACTTTCCACTCAGACTTTCTCCTATTATCAATCATCTAAATATACAGTTATGAGTTCCTTCCTTTTTTTAAGTCACCATGACTCTGATGGGAATTCTCCCTCCTTTCCTAGTACTACTTTAGCATAGAGAAGTATGTGTGTTTGTATTTCTTAAGTTGGTATTGCTCTTTTATAAAAAGTAGGAAGTGCAGCCACATCTACAAGTATTGTCAGTATCTTGTATCATGATACAATGCTGCATACTGAGCAAGGATGGCACGCTGTCTAAACCTGACTAATGGTTCACGACAATGCCTCGAAAAAGAAAAAAAGCCTGGCTAGATTTTGCCTCATTTCCCCTAAGGTGGCCGATTAAACCCTCTAAGGTCAGAGAGCTTTCCCAATTGCCCATTCCAAACATCTCAGACCAACTCTGTCCCTCTGTCAGAAGCCTACAGCTTCTGAGGGGCCCACATAAAGTTGTGGCAGGACAGCTTCTGGCATTTGCACAAAGCCTTCTTCTCTCACCCTTGCCCATCATATAGGACAACAACCTTACCATGAGACTAAACTTTTCATGACAAGTAGAAAAAAATAATTGCCACCAAAACAATTCTGGATGCTGGGTGTCTTCCTACCAGTCTACTTTGTATACAGTTTTCATCATTTTCAATATGAGGAAACACACAGAATCTTTCTGGTCTTAGTATACTTCCTGTTATTGTAACACATCTGTAGCCATATTTGTTTAGTATTGGTTTTTCAAGGACATAGGGGCAATGCTATGGACAGGATTTTGTGTCCCTCCAAAACTCATATTGAAGCCTTAACTATCACGATTGCATCTGGACACTGGGCCTCTGAGGAAGTGACAACGGTGGAATATGTTCAACAGCATAGGGCTGGTGCCCCTCTAAGAGGGAGATACCAGTCAGTGCTCTTTCTGCATGTTAAGATACAGCAAGAAGGAGGCATCATTAAGCCAGAAGACAACCCTTATATGAAGAACTAGATTGGCTAGCCCATTGTTCTGGGAACCCTCCGGCCTCCACAACTGAAAGAAGCAAACTTTATTTTTTAAGTCACAGTTTATGGTATTTTGGTATAAGAGTCTAAGAGAGGCAAGAACGTACTTCTACTGCTTTGCAAGAATACGTCTCTGAGGCCTTTGAAAGTGTATGTTACTGTAGTAGAGTGAAATATAACCTCAAACCAATTCCAAGTACTCACTCTCCTGGTAGAAGAGGCAGAGAAGGTATTCTGAGCTGGGGCTGGGATCTGCTCCATGATACTACTCTTGCTTTCAGAGTTGGAATGGTTGACAGTAGCTTCTGGCTTTTTATCTGTTATTTAAGACAAGAGAAACAACAAATATAAATATGAAAATCTTATATTTGTGTGTATAAATCCCTTTCTACTAAGAAAAAATTCTTTACCATTATCAACACAGATATTATTAGAACTGAACTCACACATTGACAAACTCTAGCAACTGTGGGTAGAAGAAAATAAACTCAAGGATACCCTTTATCTTGGTAGGCTCCAACTGCTGATAAAACAATGTCTCTACATTAGAGTTCGAGTGACTGTGTGTGTGTGTGTGTGTGTGTGTGTGTGTGTGTGTGTGTGGTGTTTTACTGTATGTAACATTCATCATTACACAGAATTTGTTCAGTTCTGTAGGGAAGTTGGCTGGGAAATGAAAACAGAAAATGCTTATGATAGACTTTGCTTTCTAGGCAATTATAATAAAAGGGAATAATAAAAACACAAGATCATGTGGTTAATTCATATCAACAGGTGCTGGAGATTTTAAAAAAGGGCAGAACCTCTGAGGAAGAAAATAAGAAAGTTGATACAATCAGTCAACATTCTCTAAAAAGCTCCAAAGAAAGCTGAAAGACAGACTGATGGCTAGGTGAAGGAGGAATGATATCTTGGTGATCACAATCACATATCTGTTGGTTACTAAGTGACTGGCCTAATCTAAATATGAGTAATTCCTGGGGTTACAATAGGAATTAACAGTAGAAAGGATTTCAAAGACTGCTCATTAAGTTTCAGAACTTTCCTAACTGGTCTCACAATACTAGGAGTGGTCTAACCCAAAGCTGTCTGCCATACATATGACTGTAAATCAATTAGTAACTAGAACAGTGCCTGTACCTGGTGGCTATGATTCTGGCATTTATACTCTGAGAACAGATCCAGAGTAAGCTTCATGGATCCTGTGATAATTATAAGCTACACCCAACCGTGGGATACTAAGTGACATATCATATTTGAAACTCTATTTTCTAATTAACCAGAGATTTTTTTTAAAAAAAATTTAGTTTATTTATATTTTTTATGTAGGTGTGCTCTGCATGTGTACCAGCAGCCAGAAGAGGCATAGACCCTATTACAGATGGTTATAAGCCATCGTGTATTTATTTGCTGGGAACTGAACTCAGATTCTCTAGAAGAGCAGCCAGTGCTCTTAACAGCTGAGTCATCTCTCCAACCCCTAACCAGAGATTTTAATTTTTGCATTGAGAGAATTTTTATGAAGATTAGAGATAGTACTTTTAAACTGCAGATCTCATTGGCTATAGTAAGCCTCTTTAAGTTTTTAATGCTATCATTTTGTAGTCATTATAATGACCAAGTCATTCTTTAAGTACTAAATATATCTAAGCTCCAAGAAATCTAGCTTATAAGCCAAACAGATTGTGACAGTACTGGCTGCCAATGCATCATGACTCCCTGAACCCATGGCCTCATGTAATGCCTTTTTTACATTAACTCTGAGCTTGACCAGGTTTCTTTCGATGGCCTTTGAAACATCAGCAGCTAAGACACTCAGCCTTGTCCTCTTAACTGATTTCAGAATCCAGCTGCCACGTGAAGAAACAGGAGCAGGCCTGCTAACTGAGAGGAGATCACTTGTCCGAACTATCTATCACACCCAACCACCAGAAGCATGAGCAATGCTATCAAGGACCAACTATTCCTCCCTATGCCTTACTAGTTGGAGGTACAAACATGAATTGCCAAGCCATAGAATAGAGTTCACATTAAAAGCCTTTGTTTTTTTAGCTTCTTCTTCCCCCACTGAGACAGAATCTTATGTAGCCCAGTGTGATAACAAATTAGCTGAAAGTGACCTGGAACCTCTGATCCTCCTGCTTTTCCTTCCAATTGCTAAAATAACAGGAATATACAGCAAGCCAGGTTTTATGCAGTGCTGTACCTAATCCAGGGCCATGTACAAGTTAGGCAAGCACTCTACCAACTGAGCCATACCTTAGCAGAATTCCTGTCTTAAGTCATAAGTTTGGAGGTAGTTTATTATGAAGTAATAGAGAATTGACATACAAAATACTTAAGTCAGACAAAAAAGAGAAAATAGAAGTTCTAATCAAAATGCTTATATTCACCTCAAACTATAATTGATATTTATAATATCAGTATATAAGACACATGAAAACTCTAATTTCTATGAGATTGCATCTATAAATCTTTAAAAAGGGGAGAAATGTATTCAACATTCAACATTGTCCAGTGTCCACTCATGTGATGAACAACACCTGGAAAGGCTTAGGTAAGACCCGCTTCCATGCACTCTACTAGCATGTTTAATGAACACCTACACACAGAAGGCCAATATGGCACACAGAAAGATGGAGAAAACACTTAAGGATATTCAAATACATCTAAAGCTTGTCTATGGGAACAGCAGAAAGGGTGAGGAAAAAAAACAGAAATAGTTCAAATATTAAGTAGCAATGAGAAAAGTAATATAAAAGAATTCCAAACAATTACTAAAATCAACAGAGGAAAGAAACCCATGTATCTACATGGTAAGGTAACAGACGTTGATTTGAGTTGGCAAAAGAACTGGAGAAATGAGTAGGGGAGTTTGCTGGAACCATCTGGCTTCTGCCCACACCAGGCTACTGAGACTGCTGTCTAGGATTACTGGTGACTTCTTCATTGCTGTATCACGCTGTATCATGCTCCCATCACACTGCTGCTTCCTTGCTGGCTTTTCTGAGGCAGAAACACACAGCCTGGTTTTCCTCAACCTACTGGTCCTACCCTTTGCTTCCTTCACTAACATCACCTCAGTTTCTCAACACAGAATGCCCTGAGATTCTTTTTCATATCTCCTTTTTTCTATAATCTTTGGGAACCTCATACTTCTCTACAGTTTTTAAAAAGTTAATTACTATCATTTTTATATGTGTGTCTGGCCTGCATATGTATGTTACCACATGCCTGCCTGGTGCCCACCAAATCAGAAGAGAGTATCAGGTCCCCTGAAATTGGAGTTACAGACAGCTGTGAGCTATTGCCATGAGTACTGGGAACTGAATTTGGGTCTTCTGCAAGAGCAGCAAGTGCTCTTAACAGCTAAACCATCTCTCCAGCTCCTCTTTTCTACAGCTTTCATCATTTATTTATTTATTTATTTACTTATTTGGTTTTTCAAGACAGGGTTTCTCTGTGGTGTTGGAGGCTGTCCTGGAACTAGCTTTTGTAGACCAGGCTGGTCTCGAACTCACAGACATCACCTGCCTCTGTCTCCCTCCCGAGTGCTGGGATCAAAGGTGTGCGCCACCACTGCCCGGCGCTACAAATGGTTATTAGCAGAAAAAAAATTAAAAATTTTAAGTGGCTACAGAGATGGCTAAGCAGTCAAGAGCACTAGCTGCTCTTCCAGAAAACCTGGGTTCCATTTCCAGCTCCAACCATCTCTAACTCCTGTTGTTTTCTTGCCTCCACAAGTACCACGTGCATGTGGTACACAGACAAGCAGGCAAAACACCCATATACATAGAAATAATAAAATAAATAACTTAAAGGATGTCCAAGACTCCATGATTATGAAGTCAATCCCCTTTATGAAAAACTTATCTGATGCCTGCCTTCTCTATAAAACTAATGGTGTCTAACTTCCTTTGGTGACAGTCAATGAACCTCAGATGAAGACATGAAGAAGAACAGTATTCTCCCATGATTGAGAGAAACTATCAGCAAAGTCAAACATTGATATACAACATCAATCCTTCAATTTACAACAAACTAAAAATAATCTGGAAACAAAACTATGATGTTACATTTGTGCTAAATATAAACAGGGTTTTTGTTGTTGTTCTTTTTCTCTTTTTCCAGGTCCTTATATTTTCACCATTCCCTAAGCAATATGGTACAGTGGTTATTTACACTGTAGTATGTAATATAAGCAGCTGAGAGATGGCTTGAAGTACACAGGCAGGTGTACACAAGTTCTATGAAAACACTGTGCCAACATATATAAGACTTGTACATCTAAAGATTTTGGTTATCTCATGAGCCAGTCTCCCATGACACTGAAGATAAATGTATATATTATTAATAAGAGTAATAGAAGTCTGATTTGTTACTGATTCCCTCACTCAGAAACTAAAGAAGTTTACAAAATAAAAATAAATAAATAAATAAATTAGGATTCAGTTTTGAGAATCAGAATAACATAATAACTAAATGCAAATTTTTACCAGTGTGTTGAAAACATTTGACCTAAACTCTCTATAAGCCTCATGCCTCTAAGCATACTGGCTTCCTGGACTCTATGGTTGACTTATGAATCTAAGGGCAGGACAACTGGCTACGTCATGCAAGATTTCTCTATGGACCTCACCATATGGCTGCATCAGAACTGGCAGGTACATTTTAACTGAGTGCAAGGTATTTATAAAGCATATTGTCAAAAGCAGTTCAATCTCTTGGGAACTGTACTTCAAGCTCTTTCTGGAAGCCTGGGAGACTGACCAGCCTCTGAGAGGCGATGGATGTGGAGGGCTTTTGTATTACCTGCCTCCTTCTCAGTTTCTGATTCAGAAACTTCATCTTCACCTTCCTCTTCCTCTGAACTGGAGCTGCTGGAGTTCTTGTTTTCTTCCTCTGTTTCTTGGGACTTAGGGTTCTCTTCCTCATAAAGCATCTTCTCTTTGCTAAATTAATTTGGAACCAGAAATGACAAACCATTTAAGCTCACTGACAACCAGGTATAATAAAGGGAACAAATCTATAAATCTGTATGTAGAAGCAACAGTAAAAACATGGAAATCCCTCTTATACCTCTGTATTTTATTGGACCTTTGGCTTTTCAACAGTCTAAGGTTTATTACTGACTTTAAAGTATGACTCAACGAGGTTCTGTCTTTTCAACATACAGAAAAAAGAGAACCATGAATAACAAGGATAAGATGGTAATGGGGCAGACAAATATTTTTAAAAGTCATGGAACACAACTTTCTGAGTTTTATTACATCCCAAAAATCTTGCTAGATACCGAAACGGGTAAACAAAGAGACAAATTCCTGAGCTGAGGAAACACCCCATAAAAGAAGAGGAGAGGGCAGGACTAAGAACCTGCAGGCTAGGCTAAAAGAGATGTTGCCAATAGTCTCTCAGTGTAAAGCATATTCATTCACTCTCAGTGCCTCCCCGTATCAGTGCCATCTCCCGACCCCAAAACACTTCCACATTTGAAGATCATTTGACTGAAGACAAACACAAAATCATTTTAATATAAAAATTCTCAAGTATCACACACACAGAAGGCCAAGCACATCTCATTCCTTACAGACGAGAAAGCTTGTGTCTTACTTCTTGAAGAGTCCACTCTGAAACTTGCTATGTAGGTCTGACTCAATGAGCTTATTCCGTGTCTCCTTTTCACTTCGAAGCTGGTAATTGAGAGAAAAGGAAAAAAGTTGACTATTTGTGAAAAATCAATAGAATTGAGAAGTGCCAGAATGGTACCATCATTCTGGAAAAATAAATAAATAAATAATTAAATAAATAAATAAATAACAGAACAAAATCAAAGAGGGAGAAGGAAATCCAAGAAAAAGATAAACATACTAAGTTGTAGTTGTGCACACCTTTAATCCCAGCACTTGGTAGGCAGAGAGAGGCAGATCTCTGAGTTTGAGGCCAGCCTGGTCTACAGAGCAAGTTTCCAGGACAGACTCCAAAGCTACACAGAGAAACCCTGTCTCAAAAAGCCAAAGAACAATGTTTCCCTGGAAGAAAGTAACAGAGGAAAATCTTTATCCAAAAGTAGAAGTGAAACCATGGTCCTGGAGATTCAAAAAAAAAAAAAAAAAAAAAAAATGTCCCTTCAAAATCCCAAATCAAACCTATTAAGGAAAAAATAAAATAAAAAGCCTAGCTTCTAAAGGATAAAGAGACAAAAGGAACCTGGGAAGAACTTTATGATCCATATACCAAAATATGTTCTCAACAATTATAATAAAATCACAGGCAGATACTATATGGGAAATATAGTTACTGTTTCTTTTATTAGATGTATGCTATTAGAATTGGTCTGCTATTTAGATGTATATTTTAGACCTGCAGTTCCCAACCTATCATGACTCCCTGGGGCCACATTTACATTATAACAGTAGCAAAATTGCAGTTATGAAGTAGCAATGAAATAATTTTATGGCTGGGGTCACCACAACATTAGAAACTGTATTAAAGAGTTGCAGCATTAGGAAGACTGAGAACCAGTGCTCTAGACAAAATATACTTATGTCCTTGAAGCCTAAAGTTTTACAGAGGACAAAGAGAAACACCAACCCCTTTAGTATAATAAGGTATTTGATGAGGCTGGGTCTGAGTATACAATCCTATCACATTGGTTACTAGGGAGGCTGAGGCAGAAGGATTGTAAATTCAGACTAGCCTGGTCTAAGGAGTGAATTCAAATGGTTGGGGGAGTGGATATCATTTATGCCCCAAATCCAATTATGTTAATTAAAGGGCATGAACTGTGGACTGAAATCATGAGTCAAAAATAAATCCCCTCCCTTACATAGTTCCTCTCAGGTACTCATCACTACAGTATAAGAGATATCAATACAGGCTCCAACTGTTATAACTTTCTATATCAAAAAAACACTTCACTCTTCTAGACCCTACACTTCCTATGAGTATTTATGATGGTTTGAAATGAACTCAAAGGCACAAATAAACATTCAAGGCCAGGAATACTGAGGTCATCTTTGAGAAAAATCAAGCAATCCAATTTAGCAATTTAGGTAATTTTTATGTGAGTCTAAATTACTTTTTTGTTTGTTTTTTGTTTTTGTTTTTTGAGACAGGGTTACTCTGTGGCTTTGGAAACTGTCCTGAAACTTGCTCTGTAGACCAGGCTGGCCTCGAACTCACAGAGATCCTCCTGCCTCTGCCTCCCGAGTGCTGGGATTAAAGGCGTGTGCCACCAACGCCCAGCTAATCTAAATTACTTTAGAGAACAAGATTTTACAATAATACAAAAACTTAACATGCAAAACAGAGCAGAGCTCTAGTCTACCAAAGGCTGCTGCTGCTAATAGTAGTGTTAACATGAAATTTGGACTGTCTTAGCACTTAATTGATCCTAAATATTCAGCAAAGAAAACACGGAGAGAAATATATTCCTCTCTGTTTTCGACTTTCAGCTGCCTGTAGGCTATTTCATGATGTAAAGTTGCTCTTTACAAAGTAGTTTCTTCAAACAGACTATTGATAATTTCTGAAGAGAACAAATAACATCTGTGAAATGTAGATACCTCCAGTTCAACTCTGAACCAATGACACTGACAAGAGACTGAGACACTCAAAGTAATTTATAAACTGCTAGGAAAGCTTTGAAAGCATCAACCAGACTTACCACATTTTGCTTCTTCTGAAGCATCTCCAAGTGCTCCACAAGACCTTCATCAGCCACATCAAATGGTGTCTGGCCCTAGGAGGACAAAGGAGCACCATGACTGATAGAAAACAGAAGCAGCAATCATGTGACTTCATCAGGGACTGCCTTTTAGTCCTATGATACAAGCTGAATCTCCTTTATCCAAAATACTTAGGAGCAGAAGTGCTTTGGATTTTAGACTGTGTGTGTGTGTGTGTGTGTGTGTGTGTGTGTGTGTGTAAGTATATATGTCTATATACATATATATGGGTATCTTGAGACCATGACCTTAGTATAAACCCAAAATTAAATTATATTTCACATACAGCCTAAAGGTGGTTTTATATAATATTTTAAATAATTTTGTGCTTTCGTGGTATGGAATTTTCCACTTGGGGTATCATATCAGTGCTCACAAGTCTCAGATTACAAGTATTTCAGATTTCAGACTTGAGCTGGAGACACCCAACCTATAGCTGATTCCCTAATCTGCTTACCTACATTGAGATGCCTTCACAGAGGAGACAATTTAAGAAACAGCAAATCCTTTAACCACAGTGTGTAGTGTCAAACAGTAGTGAGAAAATGTTGCAGTGGCACCATTCCTAATGCTTATGGCCTCTTGACAAATAATCAAGGGGATTCCCTATTTATACCTGTTCTAAAGTATTGCTGTAATGACAAATTCACTGAGTACCCTTTAAAGCCCCAAAGAAACATCTGGAGCACACCCACACTGAGGACTAATAGGAGTGACCTCCCTCTAAGGAAGAGGAGGGACGACAGGCAGATTATTTCTTTTAGGAAACACGGGGACAATGACATGTTCTGACCTACAGTCTGAGAGTGGGACCTGGATTCAGGCGTTATGGGAGACAGACAATACCATTCTAGAAAAATCAAATGATTGGGGATAAGAGTCCCAGGGCTTCCAAGTTGTTTGAAGTGAGACTGGTTAAGAGTGCTTTCAGTCAGAATGGAATGATCTTTGCCATTACATATGTTCTTGAATGACTCTGTGTGCAGAGAGCTCAGCTGTTAAAAGACTTTGAGTTGAGAAAATAGTAAAATATTTCATATCTCACCAGAGACAGGACATTAAGTTTCTCAAAGTTCATTTGTTGTCAGGAACAGACATCTTTTTTCATTTACTTTTGATTTAGGGGCTTCAACACAAGTAGAACCAGATGACATGATTGGTGGACTTTTATTTTATCTAGCACACGTACTTCTTATCAAATTGATTAAAGCAGCAAGGCAAGGTGGTAGAGGACAGCACATCTCCCAGAACGGTCAACTGGATATTGAACAAAGACTTTAAGCCTACGCTAGGCACGCAGCCACCTGATCTCATTGCCCTTTTAGAGGTTCAGGCTCACTAACCAGTTTGTTCCGGATATCCATGTCACAGAGTGCTTCTGCCAGGATGGAACAAGCCTCTTTCACTCCCCAGTGTGCAGCAGCATGAAGAGGAGTCCAGCCATCATGATCCTGAACATTGAGGTCATAGCCGGCCTGAATTAAAAGTCTAGAAGGAAACCCGAAAAGTACATTTATGCCCTTGGTTTTATAGTTTTCTACTAAATAAGCTAATACTTCAGTTGCAAGATAACCTCCAGACATCCTGGGATTCCTTCGTTCCTCTAAGAAAAGCCTGCAATTCATATTACTACTTTGCGCACCAATTGCAATCGTAACTGCACCTCTCCATAAGACTAAGCACATGGCATTCCCTGCACACACACAGCTGCATTACACTGTGCTGGTTAGTTTTTTTCAACTTGACACAAACATGGACTACCTAGGAAGGAAGAACCTCAACTGAAGAATTGCCTCTATTAGGTTGACACATCTATGGGGCATTTTCTTAATTGTTAAGGATGGGGGAGAACCCAGCCCACTGTGGGCAGTGTCATCTCTAGACAGGTAGGCCTCAACTATGTAAGCAAAGTAGCTAGGCAAGCTACAGGAAGCAAGTCAGTAAGCAGCTCTCCTCCTGCCTCTGTTCCTGCTTGAGTTGTTGCCCTGATTTTCTTCCCTCAGTGAGGACTGCTCTCAGGACATGTAAGCTAATAATCTTTCCCCTCCCTAATATTGCTTTATCCATGGTGTTTGTTACAGCAACAGAAAACAACTGGGACATACACCATACAAGTGGAATACATAAATAGAGCAGTTTGTCCCTAAGATTAACTAAACCCTAATCAATCAGAGCCGAGTCACACAACTCTATTACAGAGTATACTTTGCATTTTCCAGTTCAGAAAAGAATTCACATTTGAAATGAGGACTCAAATATCCCTAGGACACTTTACCAATGAGCTTTGTAGGTAACCTATAGAATGCCATACCTCCAATTCTAAAAATACTCACAGAGGGGTCTAGCTAACCATAAAGCTACAGTCTAACTTGTGTCTATGTGATGCAAGAGGAAAAATGTGATTCCTAAAATCTAAATTATACTGAATTTCAAGAATTGAGCAGCATATGACTACCATGTTCAGGCAGAAATAGAAGAAGTGCCAACACACTACCAAACCTACTAGAAAGACCTTATTAGGTAGAACATGAACACTGGAAGAGTCTAGCAACAACTGTACATATAGTGGCATTAGCACTCCTATATTCTGGAAATCTTGTTAACACTAATCACCACTATGAGCCACATAGATCATGACTATAAGAAAAGTGAAACAAGTAAAGTCTAACTCTCTTCTCTTGCTTTTTAAAATTGTATTTTTAAATTAATTCATTTGATGTACATGTGAGTGTGTTGGGGAGGGGGGTACATACATGCCATTGAGAGCAAGTGGAGGTGATAGGACAACTTGGAGGAATTGGTTCTCTCTTTCTACCACATAGAGGATTGACTTAGGTCATCAGGTTTGGTAGCAGATGTTTTTACCAATGGAATCGTGTGTGGGGGGGTGTGGGTGTGTGTGTGTGGGGAGTGCGTGTACGCATGGCTCCTGTACAAGTTCTATAATTGATCTAATGCTCCCAGAAATTGTCTAAATCATAGAACCAGAAGGGTCACAGGTCTGTACAGTCATAGAGGAGGAGGCTTCAGGAGAGCCAATGACACATCACAGATCTGATGAAGAGAGACCGTAAGAGAGAACACCCATGAAGGAGCACCAGCAAAATAAGAGGAAAATTTGCAAGGCAAGAGAAAACGAACAAGAAAATACACACCACAGTTAAAAAAAAAAAAAAAAAAAAAAAAAAAAAAAAAAAATTTCTACTCCTAAAACTCGTTTCTTCTTCTCCCAGTAGTCCCAGTTCCATACCTGAGGACTTCAGAGTAACCCTTGGCAGCAGCTACATGCAGGGCTGTGGCCCCTGAGCGAGCCTGCCTCACATCTTCTATTTTCCCACTGTTGAGCCACTGGCGGGCATCCTGAAGCATCTGTTGCTCTTCCTCCCTTCTTGACTGCTCTAGGTCAACTCCTACAGAACCAGACACCAGACAGCAGTGTTACTAAAGCTCCACCCGCGTCCAACAGGGCACGCACTTTAGATTCAAAACATGCAGACAGTGTCACAAATAACAGTTTCCTCATCAAGCTGGTAACTTATTAAATTTAAAGCAATGGCATTTGTATAACAAAATCAGCAATGCTAAATAGCCAGGCTAACCACTATGTGGTGCACATTCATAAAGGGAGCATACCTAACATTGTTTTCAACAGAACATAAAAATCAGATGGGATATTATTTTTACTTTACAAGATTTGCATGAAGCTATAAATGCCAAAGTTCTTTAACATGTTATATGATCTTAGTTTCCCAACAATCTGTGGAGTAACTATAATAGCTATTACTAGCCTCATTTGCCATATGAGGATATAAACACAGAAACGCTGTGTGCTTTGCGTATGGTCACAAAAACATCAGTGGCAGAGCTGCCATTAGGACTACTTGATGCTCTTGGCTCTCTTCTTTTCCACTCACTACACCAGAAGATTACTATTGAAAGTCTTCCTTTTGACAGGCAGTGGTGGTGCACGCCTTTAATCTCCGCACTCGGGAGGCATAGGCAGGTGGATCTTTGTGAGTTTCGAGGCCAGTCTGGTCTACAGTGGGAGTTCCAGGACAGGCTCCCAAGCTACACAGAGAAACCCTGTCTCAAAAAAATAAATCAAAGTCTTCATTTGAGGTAGGATATACTATGGCAAAGTGCACTCCACCTAAAGCTTACTTCCATACGCACTTTTGTATATACTTACCTGAAGCTACACAGAGCAATGCATCGATCAGTAAGTGATCTGAAGCCAACACTAGAGTCTGCTTTTAAGACAAGGTAGATTTTGTTTCCCTTACAATCATATGGAGGTATTCCCAAGAGTTCTTCCCTTTATCCATCAATCTGCAATATCTAGGCCAGTAAAGAAGGGCCTTAAGAAAGGACATTCTTCATTATATAAAATGATGAAATGATCCGATTACAAACACACCCATTCAAAAGGTTCCATACTCATAAGCAGACTTTATCTGTGCTTCCAGTCTTCTTTTGGGCTCTTAAATAAGGAACTTCTGAGAACTGTCTGTCTGGGGAGATGCACAGGGTAAAGAGGAAGTCTATTTAGACACAGTAAGAGTTACCAGTGCTGCAGTGAAGCACACATGTAAATGCTTGTTTCAACAAAGCATGAAGGAAGAGTCTGCAATCAAAATAAAGAGTGGATTCTCAAACTAAAACTTACTTTTAAATTTGTAAACTGTAAAATATTTTAGAAGAGGAATGGGGACTGGAGAAATGGCTCAGTGGTTAAGAACACTGGCTGTTTTTCTAGAAGTCCTGAGCTCAAGTCTCAGCACCCACATAGTGGCTCACAACCATCTACAACTGTAGTCCTATGGGATCTAATGACCTCTTCTGGTATGCAGATGTACATGCTGACAAAACATTCATACACATAAAATAAATAAATCCTTTTTAAAAGTGTATTTTTTAGGAGAGGAAATGAGTGGGATGAGAGAATAAACTTAGTATAAAAAATTTAATTCAGTAAGGCAAAAAAATCACATATGGACCTTTGTAATAGGTCCTGGAATGACCTGGAATATCCATCACTTAAGGCAGGCTTAGCATACCTCCTATAAAAGGTGAGATACTTAATGTTTCCTTGCAGATTTGCCAGCCCTACAATCTGCCATTACTACTCAACTCTGCTGATGCAGCATAAAAGCAGCTTTGGATAATAAACAAGCAAGTGTGGCCAGACTCGGCCCTAACTGTTCTAAAGGACCATAGCATGAAAGGACACTAAAGCTTTGGAAATAACTTCCAGTAATTTAGAAGCGCCTCCCCTATCTCCAATTGCTACAGTTCTCATCCAGAGTTTCATGATAGTTTTAACAGAAACCTAAGACCTGCTGTCCATGGTTAGTCAATAACTTTAAACTGAAAAAAATTCAAAAGCTAGGTGTGGTGGTGCTTGCCTGTAATACTGGTGGGGAGAAATGAGACTTGAGGCACCTGTCCATGAGCGGCCTGGGAAATTCTATGTACAAAAACAAAGTGACGCTGAGGCGTCTAATAGGAGAGCCCCACCTTATGCCCTGAAATGAGTTTCTTCTAGAACTACAAAATAAGAATATACAATTTCAGAATATATTCTTCTAAGTTAAATTTCTTACCTTAAGAAACTACTAGAGTCAGCTATGGGGGCTCACATCTGTAATTTAACATAGGGAGGTAGAGGTGGAAGACCACCGTCCAGGCAACAGAGCAAGCTCTAGCGCATATGGGGCTATGAAGTAAGACTCTTTCTCAAAAACACAAACATACAAACAAAAGAAACTATCAGAACAGTTTCCACAGTTACTATGGCCAAAGATCCTTTCATAGGTTTTAATAAATAGCTTCTTAGTACCACCTGTAGTTATCAAAGGAAAAGGGCACAAAGTCACAAAATAGATTAGCTACACTGGATTCCAGCCTTTCTTCAGACTTTCCTGTGCAACAGAGATGATATACACACACACACAAAGAAAGGTCCACAGTCTTCCTCGGGTCACTCCTAACTCCAAGATCAGCACACAACCTTAGAATAGCAAAGACAAGGAAGGCCTGGTCATCCTTTGGGCATTCGGCCTATGCCTGTGTGAGTTATTAAGAGGACTGATGACGAATGCTGTGCCGACAGACTTAATCCTGCCCTGTCACATGATAAGGAAGGAGGATTGTGTTCCTAAGGGGCAGCGTGAGAGCCTCTGCTAACCACCCAGTCTCCTAGGTTACCTTGCTTCTTTACTTGTTCCAGAAGAAGGTCTTTCATGGCTGGCTCTTCTGCAAGGTCAGAAGGAACTTCACCCTCGCTGTTCACAATACCCACACTGGCTCCATGGCTAATAAAATACCTGTGTGGCAAAATCAAGATTATCTGTCACTCTGATACCAGTTTGTACTGTGTCTTGAATTCAATGTACGGCAAGGCATATTTGGGGGTTTTAAATATGGTACAGATGAGGTGTTTTGTTGGTCATTTATTATTAATTTCATGCCCTAGTAGCCTTCAATAATTAGGACCACAGGTTTCCAACATGAGCAATGCTTTCTTACACACTCATATTTATTTACATATTCACTTTTCTTACATAGCCAAATCAAAAAGATTTCTTACATATGCATATTCTTAACACCCAATTCTTTTGCTTCTAGAAATACTAAGTCTTTCTAAATACTATAAGGAGCAGGGTGGGGTAGGGTATTTGGCCAAGCCTGTATCCTAACACTCAGGATCTTAAAGCAGGAGGAGCTGAAGTTAGAGGTCAGCCTGGCCTACATGCTAAGTTCAGACTAGTCTAGACTACATAGTGAGACCTGACTTAGTGAGGTAAAATAGGGAAAGCATGCAGCGCTCACTCATGCAACCTAGGATCCAAAGACATTTTAGAAAGACTTATTACACATCCAATATTAGAAATAAGAACATTTAAAAGCTATGTAAATAAGCAGTTCTCATGAAAATTCGTTTTCAGTGCCAAGGTGAAGTTTGCTTAGTAGTGTTGTGGGTATGAAAACTGAAGAATAAAGTATGTATTAGAGTTTGCATGAATTTAACTTCCACAAAACAAGCCATATAGATGAATCTACATTCATAAAGGAAATTAAATTACTAAAGAAACATTTAAAATGCTAAGCAGATTCTGAATCCATACAGAATATGTATCCTAAAGAAAAAAAGGGCTGCTAAACTCAGTACCTTATCTGTATCTTTTAATTTTCAAAGTGCCCCCCTCTCCCCACCCCACCTCTCTCTCTCTCTTTCTCTCCCTCTCTCTCTCTCTCACATGCATGTGCTCGTGCACACAAATCAGTCTTAAAATTATGTTGAAGGCAATGTAAATGCAACTAAGTACTCTTAATTTAAGAAAATGAGGTTCCTAATACCAACTATGGGGGGGGGGCGCCCCGGGAGGGTACATGTTGACAAGTCCAATCACCTGAGTTCAATCCCAGAATGATGGAAGGAGAGAATGTGCAGTCCTACAAGTGGCCTTCTGACTTTTATATGCAAACCACTGATTGCCCACACACATACCCAAATTACATGTAAAAACATTGCTCAAATTACATGTAAAAAACATTGCTGTTGAGAAACCCTGTCTCGAAAAACCAAAAGAACATGGTTGTTAAGAAGTTCAAACATGTTAAGTCATTTTCTCAAGAAAAAAAAAAAACTTTAAGTAAGAAAAAAAGTGATTTTTCTTAAAAACATGCAACTAGTACTGGCAAAAGCTATTAGCCTCAGTCTTTTTCATGTCAGTCTAAATCAAACTAGTTTTAGGCCAATTAGAATCCCAATAATACTCCAGGCAGTGATGGTACACGCCTTTAATCCCAGTACTTGGGAGGCAGACGCAGGCAGATCTCTATGAGTTCAAGGCCAGCCTGGTCTACAGAGTGAGTTCCAGGACAGTCAGGGCTACACAGAGAAACCCTGTCTTGAAAAAATGAAACAAAACCAAGAATAAATAATCAGTTCCAACAATTCTAGGACTACTATCAGACACTCAGAAGTACTGAAAAAGTAAAGAAAAACTATGTAAATTGTCTTCCAATTCAATGAACATCAACAATTAAATCGACATTTATTAATCTACTATGATGACATTCAAAGAACTACATTTTACATTGGTTAGATTTTTTATTTAAAAAAATCAACATATGGATGGGCTATGTATTTGAGAGTTGGTAAAGGAAAAAAAAAGGAAATTAAAAGCATAACTTTGATTTCTCAGTGCCTAGTATCCTAGCATAATAGGGCCTTAATAAATATTGATATATCAACTCCACATATATACAGCCTGTGGTGGTTTGAATAAGAATGGCCCCCATAGGCTCACAGATTGAATATGTGGTCACCAGGGAGTGACACCATTGAAAGGATTAGGAGGTGTGATTTTGTTGGAGGAAGTGTGTTGAGGTTTCAAAAGTCCATGCCAAGCCTAGAGTCTCTCTCTCTTCCTGCTGCCTGCAGATCCAGACATAGAACTCTCAGCTACTTTTCCATGTCTACCCATGTGCTGCCTTGCTTCCTGCCATGATGACAATGGACTAAACCTTTGAACTGTTAGACAGCCCCAATTAAATGCCTTTCTGTATAAGAGTTGCTGTGGTCATGGTTTTTTAAGACACAGCTCAATGACACTTCCACCCTCAGAGATTCAGAGAAAGACACCTTACTCAACTCTAAAGTTAATTCCTTCTATCCATATTTTTAAATTGAACAAGTGCCACCATTATATCCAATTATTCCATACATTATTCATTACTCCATAGCCAATAGTTTTTCTTTTCTGGTTTCTTCCCCTCAAGCCAAATGAGTATTCAACCACACCACCTGTACCCTGAAAAAAATCAATATACAAATACTATACACAATAAATATTGGTTGAACTGAAATATATACTCTAATCAAACTCAACCAGTTACAACTTCCCCCAACCCCCAACCCCTTCACACCAAGCTCTGCTCCTTAGGGTGAGCTATTTTCTTTAAGTGAATGGAACAAATTTCTTTCTCTTTTAAGATACATTTCACATCTTTTAAGGTCCATTTCAAACTCTTTTGCCTTCAAGAGTCTTGCCTGTTCCCACCAACTGAATTCTCTCTCTCCTTCCTTTAATGCTACCTTCCTGCTCCTGTAAACATTAACTGTACCTCTTCCATAGCAGACACTGTATGTATCTTGATGCTTTCTCTCTTTTCTTGGCATTCTATAAATATTGCTTAAACTACATGAAATATCCTGGTCTCCATTCTAACATGTATCCCTTCCTTTCTGGGTCAGGTTACACAGGCTGCTGCTTCTCCCTTTTCTGATCTGTTCGTGTGCTAATGATCAAGAAAACTGGTTCCTACCAAGAAATACAGCTTTTCCTTTTTCCACATTTCCCCAGTTCATAGGAGAAAAACAGACACCTTTAGCACTGCACTTGTACTGAACAAGAGTAAACATTAATGTATAAACTACTAAGCAGAAAGAAACAGGAGGAGATGCTGTCTAGAGCCTCAGAATTGCTGTTAGCACTACATATGTGCCTTGAAAGCCTAGCTGAGCATTGATAAAAGGTATTCTGCTATTATTTCCTAACATTTATTTATTAATGTATCCATTTATTTATCTGTGTATGTGCACATGAGCATTCCATGGAACATATAGGAAGGTCAAATGACAACTTGCAGGAATCAGTTTTTTCATTCCACCACATGAGTTCCAAGAATCAGATCTGGTGCTCAGATTTGATGGCAAGTGCCTTTACTTGTTGAGCCATTTCATTGGCTCCCTTTGCTGTTCTTTTAAGGAAAAAAGTACAGAAATAAAATGTGTTTTTAAAAAACCTCAAAATATGTTAGCATTGCAATAAACTATAAATCATGCTAAATGTTTGGGTCAATCTCCTGCTCATAAATTAAACACCACTAGGAATAATCCAGCCAACTAGTATTTGAACTCAAACCGAGGAAAAAATAAACTCTAAACACACACACACACACACACACACACACACACACACACAAACACAGAGTAGAAATACATGGCTGAAAGGATGACCAAGGAACATGAAATAGAATGGTCATGGGTTTCTACTGAAAAAAGCTAGTCTCTCTGTCCTTCATTCCCATTCCCTTGAAGTTCAGTGCTGCCAATTATCCTAGAAATAAGTTTAAAGTGTAAGTTCTTCAAGACACAAACAGATGTCATGTGGAGATGGCACACATGTGTGACCCCAGCCCTTGGGCTACTGAGGCAGAAGGATTGATGTTCAAGGGCTGCCTGGGCTTAGTGGAGACTATGGTCAGCCAGAGCTACACAGTGATACCCATCTCTAAACAATTTTTTAATACTTTTTATTATGTTGTGAGTATGGGTGTTTTGTCCCAATGAATGTCTGTACACCACATGTGTGCACAGCCCTTGGAGCCCAGAAGAGGATGCCAGATCCCTTGGGACTGTAGGTGACCATGTGGATGCTACAGATCCAACCCAGGTCCTATGGAAGAGCAGCCTTAATGCTGAGCCATTGCTCTGTTCCAATCCCCAATTAAATAATCATGTTATTTCCCTGATCTGTTGTATAAAAATATTACAAATAAAGAGTGTAAAGTAAAAACTTATCTGGGGTCTGGAGAGATGGCTCAGGGGTTAAGAGCACTGACTGCTCTTTCAGAGGACCCTGGTTCAATTTCCAGCACCCACATGGCAGCTCACACTTGTCTGTAGCTCCAGTTTCAGGGGACCTTATACCCATGGCAAAAACATCAATGCACATAAAAATAACTTATTTAATACTCTAAATGTGTATATTACAAGGTAAACTAAGGCATGCCATCTCTACCTCTATCCCACATCTACAGTGGATTCCAGTCGGGATCAGCTCACTATGGTCAGACATTCATATGTATAAGTTGTGATAGTCACGGATAAACTCATTTCATTCAAGGTATTATTTGGTTGAGTAAAGATTTCTAATTTTAAATTTATTTCTGGGGAGGGGGGGATTAGAGAGATGGCTCAAAGGTTAATAGCACTGGCTGTTATCCTAGAGGTCCTAAGTTTAATTCCCAGCAACCACATGGTGGCTCACAATCATCTGTAATGAGATCTGGGGCTCACAATTATTTATAATGAGATCTGTTGCCATCTTCTGGCATGCAGGCATACATGCAGATAGAATGTTGCATAATAAATAAACAAATAAATAAATAAATAAATAAATCTTTTTAAAAAAATCTATTTCTGGGGCTGGGTGATGGTGGCACATGCCTTTAGTCCCAGCACTCGGGAGGCAGAGGCAGGTGGATCTCTATGAGTTCGAGACCAGCCTGGTCTACAAGAGCCAGTTCCAGGACAGGCTCCAAAGCCACAGAGAAACCCTGTCTCGAGAAATCCTGCCCCCCCCACACACACACACAAAATGTATTTCTGAAGGAACTGTGTTTGTCCTTAAAAATGAGTTAAAGAAATCACAAAAGGTATTACAATAATTCTCTGTATTTAGCTTCCCAGAAAGATAACACCACCTACTACTCTACTTTTAAGACTCAGCTGGCCTTAGATAATTTAGAAAGAAAAAAAATAGGTAAAAAACTAAATTCTTGAATGTAATGAGATTTTGTAGCTCAATTACAAACATTCCACCTGAACTCATTACTCAAGTACGAATAATGAGAAGTTGACACATCTTACACTTCTTAAATAAATGTTGTAAGTCCAAAAAAGACAAAGAAGTCACCTTAACTCCTACGCATGGGAACACTGACATTAGTGAGTTCAACGGAGAATAGGAGGCAGCCTAGGTTACACATCATTATTAACTTTGAATAGGGAGAGGAAATGAAGATCAAAGAAAACTCTACTGTCCAGTGGTCTTGGCTTTGGGACCAATCCAGCCCTGTCCAGCCACCTGCACTGCTGGCTCGTGTGTCTCTGCTCTGATACTTCAACTGAAAATCCATGCTTCAAAGGAAATCCAGCCACTCAGCGATGCTCTAGGAAACCTGTGCAAATGTAGTTCTCAGACACCTACATGACTGTTTGCTGAATAAGAAAAAAATGTGCTAACCCCAATTGTTATTGAAAAGGACTTAATCAATCTGATTTTCAAAAGGCCACAGACTATCCTGATTAGATTTACTTTATCATTCTAAATTTGCCCTGGAAATTTTAAAAATGTTTCAATTGCCAAAGTTTCTTTCCTAACTAGAAATAAAACTCATGGTCATTCTTTCAAATATCACAAACTTATTTTGTGCTTCTCATTTGGTAGGTACAATGTGATCAGGATTCCTCTACCCTAGAGGGGGCAATCTACCCCCATGGAGGTCAGCAGCTACCAACCTATCAAACATAGCCATTCAACCAATGTGGAGAACATATGCCAATCACTACCTTGCCTTGGTCCTATGTGTTCCAGTTCATAATTTGCTATTTAGTTCAGTAATACTTATTTAATAAAAAAAAAAGGTTTATAGAGAAGTCCAAGGGGAAAAAAATCTACAACTCACATGCATGTGTTCTGCTGTTCAGAAATTATCCAGACAGTGCACCAAGCTGATGCTGCCTCTGAATAGTCTAGCAAATATGAATTACACAAAACAGAAGCAAACAAAATTGGAGGTAAGACCTGTGCATATATAAAGGATTCAAAACACCATGTCAGCTAGCTCTTAATAGTCAATTTTCTGTGTTTGTAATTTAGAGAGATAACTATTTGTAAAATTCAATTTCAGGTAAGCAGTGGGGTTTACACCAAACCCACAGCAGATGCTCACTCACTCTGCTATGTTGAGATAACCACACGAAGCTGCTGCATGAAGAGGTGTCCAGCCCTCGTTGTCTTGCTGGTTTACATTGGCTCTGTTCTCCACCAGAAACTTCACCATGTCCAAATTTTCATCAATACAGGCCTGAAAAGAAAAGCCCACTGATTCATTCAACAAGAATTTATTGAGTTCTATTACATACCAGACACTACTTTGGACAATGACAATGGCCAGTAGTTCTGATATACTATTTATTTTTCCTAGTAAGTGTTTGAAATATGACTTCCAAACTTAGAAATACTATTAGATATTATTTACAGTACTAAGAGTATTAATGGGATTAACTATGAAATGATTTCTGTAGTGCTGTAAATGGGAAGCTACTGTAGCATTTTGTTATAAAAAGGAAAGTGTGTTAGAAATGTTTTTACATGTTTTTCTAAATGGCTTCAAATGATATTGCAGACAGATACTGTTCTCTGCCTTCACCCCAACAAGCAGGGGAAAACACAGAAGCTTTTTTAATAAAAGCTTTTAAATCTTTAATAAGACTAGAAGAAATAATCACAATGAACTCTGGTTGAGCCAGGCATGGTGAGACATACCTGGAAGCCCAGCATTTGGGAGGTTCAGGAAGAAAGAGCTCAAGACCGAGGTCAGCCTGGGTTACACAGTGATATCCTACTTAAAAAAAATTAAAAATTAAAAAAGTCAGGCAGTGGTGACACACGCCTTTAATCCCAGTACTTGGAAGGCACAAGTAGGTGGATCTCAATGAGTTGGAGGCCAGCCTGGTCTACAAAGTGAGTTCCAGTACAGCTAGAACTGTTAACAGAGAAACCCTGCCTTGAAAAACATGGATGGATGGATGGATGGATGGATGGATGGATGGATGGATGGATGGATGGATGGATGGATGGACGGATGGACGATATACAACAACAGGGCTCTGCCTGAAAAAAATAAAGGTGGACAGCACTTGAGGAACAATAACCCAAGGTTGACCTAAGGTTTCTACATGCACAGACATGTACTTGTACACGCACTCAGGAGCACACACACACACACACACACACACACACAGAGAGAGAGAGAGAGGAGAGAGAGATAGAGAAGTAGAAGAAAGGAAAACAGAAAATAAAAAAGTCTAACATAGAATAAAAAGAAATTGTTGACAAGGATAATTATTCAGGTTCAGACAGTTCCAAAGTCGGGAAAATTCAGGACTTAGAAGGAAATGTGTACTCATCCATAGCACTGGGCATCTGCCCACCTCAGAGAGTTGGAAACAGCTACTGGCACTATTTTTGAGCCAGTACTTTTAACGGCCACACACACCAAATGTATTTAATCCTCACTCACCATGGCTCTTGTCCATACTTACATTAGAAAAGTAATTTGATTCAAAATGTCTCTGGACTAGCCAGATTTAGGAATCTGGATGTCTAATTTCAGAAAATTCCCTATTTATTTTTTTAGAGTACTGTGGATTCCTAAATCCAAGAATTACATGAAAAAAATAAGTATGTTCCATGACCGAACTGGAAAGAACCAGCCTAGTCAGTGGTACAAAGCAACAGAGCTACAGAACTCTGCTGTCCAGAACCTTCAACCGCCCTGCCTCTCCTACATCCAGCTGCCTTGGTTCCAGGAGGGTATGACTAGAGCATGGATGAGAGGAAAGGGGGATGCTCCCTGAAGTCTTCTCCAGTGAATAAGGACTAAATTTAGATGTCCTCTGCCTACTCCATCTGCAGATGTGATGCTGACTCATGCAACATGGTCCATGAGCAGATTCACAGAGTTATGCTCACGTCTCCAGACAAGAACTCTTTCCTTTCCTTGGAAAAGAAGTTAATCTTTGGGTGTTAACCATGACAACAATGGTGGAACTTTTTTGCTTTAACTCAAGTATCTTCACTGTGGCTTAAGTGTGTTTATTCTTACTTAGCTTGTATTGTACAAGAATGTTACTAGAGTAAAAATTTGTTTTAAGCTCTGAAATAAAGGTATATACTTAATTCTTAGTCCAAAAGAACTAACAATTCCAAAAACTGCTTGGTAAATAAAGGTCTTCACAATCAGCATGCAGTAAAGACAAGCTCTCTGCAAGGGAAAATACTTCTTGTATCAATACTATGGATACTGTGATCTTTCTACTGTACCTAACATTGCTCTCTGTATCAACGGCTAAAGTGGCTGGGGGTTAACCAAAGCCAGAGTTAATCTGGGAGCACAGGGCCTTACAAAACTAAGTCTTCTGGGTCCCAGAATAGCCTCCAACTGTCAGCACGGCCTAGTGCTGGCTCACAAAGCTGACCTTGCTGTTGTATCTCAGGAGAAAGCCAAGGCTACCTGTTTTGCCTGAAAACAAATCTCCACAGCGTCCAGCTCCAGGTGATTGTCAACAAAAAACAGACTTAGTACAGCCTAACTCCCACATACTTTTTTAAATTCTGTGTTTGCCTTAATTGCAATAAATCATGATGAAAAAATTTCTGTCACTTTGGGTGGAAAAAAAAAAAAAAAGAACACCAAACGACACAATCAATTACCTCAGGCAGCCCTCAGAACAGGGAAAAACCTTGAAAGCCAGGTACATGATAAAAATTCATAATCTAGAATGTGTAGGGTACATTTAAAACTCAACAAAAGCAATCTAATCTTAAAAATGGGGAAAAAGGACTTAACATGTCTCTGTGTTTACAAATGCTCAAAAGCACACGAGAAAGTACTTAACTGGTACCAATCATTAAGGAAATGCAAATCAATACTACAGATGATACAGGTCTTTAATCCTAGCACTCAGGAGGCAGCCATGAGCAAATATCTCTGCATCCCAGGGCAGCCTGGTCTACATAGTGTGTTCCAAAAGAGTGAGGGCTTCATAGTGAGACTCTGTTTCAAAAATAAATAAACAAAAAAAATAAAAGTCTTTCCAGGATGTGAAAAAATTTAAACTGTGTCCATTACATTAGTGTAGAATGGTACAGTTTCTACAGAAAACAGCATGGTGATTCAACAACAACAACAACAACAACAACCTACAATTACCATTTCTATTCTATCCAAAAGTAGAATTTGTATTACAAAAATCAAAAGATTTGAAAGCAGTCTGAAAGGGATATCTATACAGCCACATTCATGGAAGCATTTACTCACAATTGCTTAACTGTGGAAATAACTAGAATCCATTAATAGGTGATTAGATAAGCTAGACGTGGTATTTAATACAACACACATACTCAAGAAGGAATATGTCTCTACTGACACCTGGGTTTCTGTTGTTGAAAGCCAACAAGTTTGTGGTAGTGTGTGACAGAAGGCACAGGAATGATCAGACTGACATAAATTAGAGAATCCAAATCTAGAGTCTGCCTTCTCTCAACTTCTTGCTATATTTATTGAAAACACCAATATTGACTGATTCCTTCTTTTCCAAATGAAAAGTGCCTCCCTCCCCGAGATCTCACAGATCTTCAAAACAGTATATTAAATAGAATGCTTTCATTTTTAACCCTACTTTAGCTCAAATAGTAAAGCCCTGACAGATCTAACCCCATGGTTCTTTCATTAGCAACTGGGGGAAAAGGGAGTTGAGATAGGGTATCATGTAGCCCAGGTTTCAAATTCACTATGCACTGGAAGATGACCTTAAATTCCTGATCCTCCTGCCTCTACCTGCCAAGTAGTGGGAATATCAGTTTGTATGACCACACCCAGATTTGCTGGAGGTATTCTGGCTGAGCACTGACACAGAAACTAAACCTAGAGTAGGAAGCAGTATATATGAGCTCCCTGTGAACCCCAAATCTGTAAGTTCAAAATCCTTTTGTTCTACTCAGGTAACTTCATCATATGCTAAGATGTTATACTGGTAAGTTAAGACGGTAGTGCCATTAAAAAGTCTGGAAATCTCTACCATCAGCAGATCACTCTACAAGAGGTTTTAACATACAGTCCTTAAGATTGACTGATCCAGCACATCAGTACTTCCAAGTACCTGTCTCTGGGTTCCAAACACGATACAATGTAATAACTTCTGTTTAACTGAGAATCATTAAAGCAGTCTACTCCAATGTGACAGGTGACTCCAGCTGCTGTCAGTCCCATGTGAAAGACTCAGAACTCCACTGGCATAGAATGTCTGACTCTCAGATGGTAAGAACTATATCTGACTATGCACTCACTGGTCAGACAGGCTCTGGACACAGATCAGTGGCCTTTCAAGAGATGGCCAAGAGACAGCAGAAGTAAAGAATTTTCTATTAGCTAGACATAGTGGCTCCTAACTCAGCACTCAAGAAAGCTGAGGCAAAAAAGACTGAAGAGTTCAAGGCCACTCTAAACACATAGTTTGAAGCCAACTACAGCTCTATAAGACTCTTTCTTAAAACACAAAACAGAACAAAACAAAATTTCCCATCAACTGTCCAACTGATTATGATTTGTTCTTGGTTGACTAGCATATTATTCCAAGACTACAAATGTTTATAAATTAAGACCAGAGAACATCTTCCTTTCCATACCAACAAACATGGTATGTGATATGGCCTAAGGTTTCAAAACCATGAGCCTGCAAGATGGCTCTGTAGGAGAAGATGCTTACCCCCAAACCTAACAAATAGAGTTTAATCCCAGGAACCCACCTGGTAGGAGAGAACCAGCTACCACAAACTGTCCTCTGACTTCCACACTCACACGTACTTGTGTAAGCACACACAAACAAATATAATTTTAAATAAAGTTGAAAAGTAAAATGTGAAGAAAGAATACATTAAAAATGACAGCATGGTCTTCATATAGAAGATTCATGCTCCGACCTCCCTGTCTCTACTCTCTGCTCCTGAGGGTCCTAACTTTGAGGAACAATAAATGAGACCTATTGGTGCTGGGGAAAAAAAAAAAAAAGACAAGGGATCATTTTTTAATTAGAACAAAGAAGTATAGATATCTGAATAGCTCTATATTTATTTATTGGTACTGGAGGCCAAATCTAGGCCCAAGTACACTCTAGGCAAGGACCCTCACACAGACCTCTCTCATGGGCACACCCATTCATTTGTTTGTTTCTTTGTTCATTTATTTATTTGCTTATTTATTTATTTATTTATTTTGAGGTAAGGCAATGAAATGGTGCTTGA